CTTGATTGTCCTGTTTCCTGGGTTTACTTGGTCCCCAAGGACGCGAGAAAAAGCATATGCTGACCCTGCCAAAAAAAAAATAATAATCACATCTAGAGAATATTAGAATACAAATATTACTGATGGTACAACAATGTTTTACATTCCTAAGATTGTATCTATGTAGCAGTAGGCATTAGAAGAATTCTCAGATTCAAACTGTGAATCAATATGTGATAGACTCTCAATTTTTTTCCTTAAACAGTGAATTAGTAGATTGCTAAGGTTTTGTTCATCTTTTACATTTTATGACTCCATCAGAACCTCTGAAAGCAAAGAGAAATAGAAATATATAAAAGGAGGGTAGAACTTGATTTGTAATTACTGTACATCACGTTTCCAAAAAAAAAAAAACCAACCAACCAACCAAACAACAACAAAGTGGTAGTTATGGAGGAGAAATCCTATCAAACACCCAGAAGGAACACCTGGAAGTCAGACACTTCCTCAGAATAACAGCAACATATATTTTCCATCTGCTTTACATTACAGACTTGTGGTGACTTAGGCCAGTTTCTCAATTTCTAGAGTGGACGCAAACCAGGATGTTCAATTTAGAACTGGATGATTGACCTTTGGCAACTAGAAATGGAAAAAGAACTTGTCTGTCACTCTCTGACGTAGATTCCAAAATGGTCACAACCATGATGCCCTTTCTTTACTTGATTGTCCTGTTTCCTGGGTTTACTTGGTCCCCAAGGACGCGAGAAAAAGCATATGCTGACCCTGCCAAAAAAAAAATAATAATCACATCTAGAGAATATTAGAATACAAATATTACTGATGGTACAACAATGTTTTACATTCCTAAGATTGTATCTATGTAGCAGTAGGCATTAGAAGAATTCTCAGATTCAAACTGTGAATCAATATGTGATAGACGCTAAACTCCTTGACTGCTTCAGTAAGGCATGTGTAGCAAAATGCTCTCTGGGCTGTTAGATCAAATCTCGCCTCAGCAGCTCACCAACTGTGGTTATTTCAGAAAGTCAAGTAAATCCTCTGAACTTCAGGTTCTTTGTACGCACAATGGGATTAATAATGCCTACCTTGCAGTTTTGTTGTAAGGATGAAATAAGACCAGTTCTGTGGAAGAATTTACCTCAGTGTTTGTTACTTAGCAGACACTCCAGCATGTTCCCTCCCTCTGTTCCTTCTCTTCTTAAAATCAAACAGCTTGGGGAAACTGTACTGATTATGGCTCATTCCAATAGAATACAGATTCAGCGAAACCAGGATACTCAGGTGGTGCTGATTCACTGCCTTCCTTCTGACAAGTAACAGTAATGGATATGGCACATCTATCTGTGAAGGGGTTTGTGGTTTTACAAGAGACTTGGATATTTCCTCTTCTGGTCTTCACAGCAGCTCTGTAATGTGGGAGTTAGAAAACTCATTTGAGAGATGAGGAACTGAGGCTCAGGAAGTTTAAGCATCTTGCTCCCAAAAGGGATCGATCTAGAGACTAAGTCTTCTGACCCAAGTGTCCATTACACCCCAACAGCCTTCTGAGGCCAAACCCTGAGCACTTAGGGAGGGATATAAACAAACATCTGTCTGCTTTGGAAGGTATGTTATCTGCAGGTGCCACGCGAGAGGTGCCTTTCCCGGTTGCTTGGGCTGACGATGCCCTTGCTCTCATGCTTCAGAGCTGGGGCAGTGCAAGCACTTTTTCATCAGTAGCTGGAGTGATTCCCTCTCCACTATCTGCACATTTAGTGATTTGGCTCTTGTTGTAGTTATATTTAGAAAGTCCAATGTGTATCAAGGAAGCCATTTAAAAGGCTATGGGAGGGATTAATCGAATACAGCTTGTTTGTTATCTTTCCATTAGTGGAATCCATAAAGCTGAAAAGAAGGATTCTGAGATAAGAGGAATTTACTTGGGATCCTATAAAAGCAAACCCACCAACCTGTATGTTTCTTTGCTAACACAGAGGGGGGACTTGAAAGAATTACCTAGCCTCCAGTAACCCTGAGCTGGCAAACATAAACAACCAACAGAACCAGCAGGTTACTATCATCTCTGTTGTCACATAAAAGATGCTCCCAGGGTGTTTTGTTTTGTTTTGTATTTAATGTTCCACTGCCGTTTGAAGGAACACACTTTTAAGTATAGTACAGATGGTGATGGATGAACATTTTATTTCTTTGTCCTTCCCCAAGACGGGGTAATTGTGCATCATGCATGGCAGTCAGTGGTCACTTTTAATATTTAAATGACATCTAAGTTGGAGATTAAAATTTATAGAAAGTGGTGAGATCCCAGGGGAAAGGATCCCCACTTCTACTTCCAGATGCTATAAAACAGATGGGGCTCCCATTCCAGACTTAACCATTAAAACATTTAAGATTCCTTGTAATGCCGGAAGCCTACAAAAGAAAATCTCTGTCCTTCTTTGCTGCTCTCTTTCACACACACAGACACATTCACAGACACACACACACACACACACACACACACTTATTTTGCATTAACAGATCGTGAACTTAATTTCAGAGGGCAAGATTAAATTTTGTTTTTAAAAACTAGAGTGTAACCTTAGGGCCCAGCACCACCACGGTAATCATTACCTTCAAATATCCTTAAACACTTTTCAGAGATAATCTAATTACCCCTCTACACATCCTCATGGGAAAGGTGTTATTATTTCCATTTTGAAGACAAATACAACATCTACTCTTGATTTATAAGCATCACTGCTTCTGAGAAGCTTTATTATTCGTTTTCTTGATCACCTTCAAAATATGAGACTTAGACACCCCAAATTAAGTAATTTTGTAGAGTCAGAGGCAGAATAGTCTGTGTTTGTATGAATGATGGATTAAAATTCAGTGTTTTCCAAACTGTTTTAATCATATGCTCTGTGAAATTATAAAATGTCCATCAATACAGAAATTAAAAAGGAGGAGAGACAAAATAAATATAACCAGAAAGTCTGGTGCATTTTCTGAGCTTTCCTGGGTTCATGCATTTCCTTTTGGAATGGGGGGGGGAGGAGACAGGGAAAGACTTAACATGGTTCTCTTCTTCCTCCCTCTGTCAAATAAGCCCTAAAAATTGCCACCGTCTCATTGAGTTCTACCGACAGTTAACGTGTAGGATAAAAGAGAAGTGGGAAAAAAAATAAAAGAAGGGAAAAAGAAGAAAGGTCTGAGGAAACAGAAAAAGATCAGGGAATAGAAACAGTGAGCAGCTGTGCCAATATTTAAATGCCATAAAATAGGTGGCTTCCGAAGGACAGCTGTCTGCACCTGCTAGGGCTGCCACAACGACATACCCCAGGCTGGGTGGCTGAACCAACAGAAATTTATGTTCTCTCAGTCTGGAGGCTGGAAGTTCAAGATCAAGGTGTTGGCAGGTTTTGTGTCTACTGAGTCATCTCTCCTTGGCTTGAAAATGTCTGTCTTCTCACTGGGTCCTCACATGGTCTTTCCTCTGGCACACACATCCCTGGTGTCTCTCCGTGTGTCCCAATTTCCTCTTCTTATCCAGTTAGATTGGATTAGGGCCCACCCTAATGGCCTCACTTTAACTTAATTACCTCTTTAAAAACCCTGTCTCCAAATAAGGTCACATTCTGAGGTACTGTCACTGGGTCCTCACATGGTCTTTCCTCTGGCACACACATCCCTGGTGTCTCTCCGTGTGTCTCAATTTCCTCTTCTTATCCAGTTAGATTGGATTACGGCCCACCCTAATGGCCTCACTTTAACTTAATTACCTCTTTAAAAACCCTGTCTCCAAATAAGGTCACATTCTGAGGTACTCGGGGTTAGAATTTCAACATATGAATTTAGGGGAGAGACAACGAATCTAATAACAGGTGCTTTAATTGGAAAGCATCTTCTAGACTGGCTGGTTAGGTCGGTTGGTTAGAGCCTGGTGCTGATAGCACCAAGGTCTTGCATTCTGTCCCTCTACAGGCCAGCAGAAAGGAAAATACCAGACTGACAAAAAGTGTCTTCTGCTTTCAGGCAAGGCTGACATTAGAAACACATAATAACCATACAGCATGAACACTGGAGGACACTGTCAACAGTGTTTTCACTCATACGTGTTTCAGTCAGCCGACGTGACTCCACTTCCCCACCTAGGTAGCCTCCAAAGATGATTTCACTTATCTTCTAGGGCTTTCCCCAACAGTTTCTTGGAGACTTTCCAAAGACTCCAAGACAAGGCTACTTTCTCCAAAAGTCCCCAAAGTCTATTTGCACAATAATTCTGACCATGTGCTCATGGAGAGCAGGACTTTGCCTCTTCTCTCTTCCTGTAAGACAATAGGTGACAAATCCAGTCATTTCTCTTTTCATGTTTTGTGAAGAGCACCTTTCCTTCAAAGCTCCTGTGTGTTCAGGGGGTTTTCCCAGTCATGATCTGCACCAGATGGCCTCACCCTGGAGCATCTCATGAAGAGCATGCACGTTTGCCCTGTGCCGGGGAAATATGCAAGGCCCAGAGCCATGATTAAGGGACTTGTTTGAACAGTGTCCTGTAAGTGATTATTATAACCATTGACCTCCAGAGCTGAACTTCGAGCTGAAAGCAAAGAACCCTGGTAGAACTCCACAGTTATCTTTCTTCACAAAAGACTTCTTTCTCAGCCCGGCACAGGGCTTTTCGATTTTTTGGAAGAAATTTTTTGCGTTTCTCTGAGGTGACAAATTTCACTGAAGGAGATAAGAGAGTAAAAACAGCATGTTAATTGCATGTAAGCAGAACTGGATGGGGCTTAAGTTTTGCCATTGACCGATGAGCCACAGTGAGGAGGCATTTCAGTACCTTGATAATTAATTGGCTAATCATGATTGACTTTTGGAAAATCCTAAGCTTCCCCTACCTCTGATGGTCTCCTGTCACTCAGAGTGGAGGGATGATGGGCCTGGGAAGGAGAGATCGGGACAAAGGAAGACCTGGTAGTATGGCTTGTGATACAGTGTGCTTCATTCCTTTCTTCTAGGGGAAGATGATGACGACGACGAATGTGGGGAAGAGAAGCTGCCCTCCTGTTTCGATTACGTGATGCACTTTCTGACTGTGTTCTGGAAAGTCCTCTTTGCCTTCGTCCCCCCTACAGAATACTGGAATGGCTGGGCGTGTTTTATTGTCTCCATCCTGATGATTGGCCTACTGACAGCTTTCATCGGAGACCTGGCTTCCCACTTTGGCTGCACCATTGGCCTGAAAGATTCCGTGACTGCAGTCGTGTTCGTCGCACTTGGAACTTCAGTGCCAGGTAGAGACTACATTCCTATATAATTTCCCCAGAAAGCAGAAGTTCGTTTGCTTTCTTGACCCTTTCTTTCCTACAGTTTCAAGGACTGTGATAAGGAACCAGGCCTATGAAGGATGACGGCCAAGAGATGTAAAGAATGTCACTGCCAGAACATTATCATGACACTTCTCAAGATTAGAGAGGTGGTCTGTATCATTATAATGGCAGGAAAGAATTCCCACAGGGTCTCCACGACCTGCATGGACAGAGCAGATTGGTTTGATGCATAGTTTTCAGATGAACTTCTGCTCATTATAATGAGCACTTTCAAAACACAAAACAAAACAGACATACAGAATAATCTTCAAAAACAAAATTTCTGTCTTTTATATACTTAGTAAGGTTTGAATGATTTCTATGAAACTTTGTAACTGAGATAACACATTTACTGGAGACCTGATGAAATATCCTTTTGACCCAAATAATAATGGGAGTAAATAGAAAATAGACATTGATCAGGACAGGAAAAACGTAATCCTGACAAAAAGCAGGCCAAATATACATTTTGTGAACATTCTTTCATGCATTCCTTACAAGTTGAATTTTTCTTCCAAGCTACAATTGTAGTTCACTGTGTTTACTCAGATTTCTCCCAAACGTAACATTGACAACAGTAATTTTCAAACTTTGGTGGCCATCAGAATTATCTGGAGCTTGTCAAAAATGCAAATGTATGAGACCCAACACCAACCTATGGAAGATCTAGGGGTAAGGCTCAGAGGTGTGTGTTTTAAGCTCAGGAGACTCTGGTGCACATCAGAGTTTATTGGAACTGAAATTCCAGACCGACTGCCTAGCACTAGGTGGCATCCTGACAGATGCACATCCCTGACATTAAGCAACAAGACTCACATTCTCTACCAAGTAGCAGACCCAGGACAAGCATTACAGTGGCCTTGGAAAAAGGCAAGACGTGAACAAATATAGCCCTGCAGATGGTGCCATTCACTGTCCACGTTCCCCATTTACCACAGTCTTGATATAAACACTATGATTTCTACTAACACTTGCTGTAGTTGGCAGTCCTGGCTTTTGGTTTGAGTCTGAAAACAAGTACAGTTGAAATCATGTATTTCTTTTCACTGGAATTCACCAGTTGCTCTTCTTCATGCACATGTTTGTCATGGCAGTGACTGTGGACAAGTTACTTAACCTTTCTGAGCCTCTTTGTCCCTTTGTAAAAGAGGGATAACCATACTTAACATGGAGAATCGTGGTAAAGACTGGAGAAAAATACCTATAAATTATGCATCTAGTAAAGCATCTGAGACATAGAAGGAATCCAATAAAATAGCAGCTCTTATGATTATTATTTATATTGAATAATTTAGGATGATCTGACCCATATAAATCTGAACACTCCATCCACGGTTACCTGGAATACCCTTGGGTAAGATTTACAAAGTGTAGATTTGTGTTGGTCAGCCATAACACATGAAGTTATCCAACTGACTTACCATTCGGGGGTCTTGATTTAGAGGCCTCACATGGTTCTGGTGTCCAACTGAGTGATGGATGAACCAGGGGATTTAGAGAGTACCCCAGTGAGCAGTGCTGTTCAGAGTCTTCCAGATGACTGTTGAGGACTCTTCTGAGGATCAGCTCCTCTCTCAACCCCGGCTACGTGCCAACGGTTCCACATTTTTTCCAAAAATTACCAGAAATTTACCAAGTAAGAAGAAAAGTTTTAAATATTCATCTCAAGTTGTTTTGTTTAGGGAACATATAGACAACCAGAGGAACTAAACATCATTGTTGTTCATTGCTTCTGTCTGAGGTTATTATAAGAAAATAGGTTTTGGGGTCTCCTTTCCCTAAGGCTTAAGTCACTGCATCAGTTGGTTTTGAAGTTAGCACACACTGTTGGCAGTGGGTTTAAACCCTGAGGAGCATATGTGCAAATTATGATAATAAAGGCAAAATTAGGTCTCTCATGACAGTTGTCCAAAATCAGTCTGCCTTTCTAGAAAGGCAGCAGTTCATCCTACCAAATGCATCTCTTGTTTTCAAGAAGATAAAAAATGCTTTTTCTGCATCAAATCCCTGTTCCTGAAAATACTTTTTATTCTCCAGTGCCTCATCTCCAATACCCCCAAACTGGCTCTTTTTTCTCTCTGCTAATCTTCCAAACTGCCTCTGTGTATCTCTTGTTTTAATAAACTCTTTTGAAAAGGGTGACAGCCCTATGATTAAAATGAAATCATTTTTCTATAACATGAAATGTGGATTAGAGCAAACCTCAGTGTTTAGAGGAGTTGCTCTTTCTGCCACTTAAAATCAACTCAGAACTTAGGCAGAGACATTAAGAGGTAAGAAAACCTGTTTGGGGAGAATACAACAGAATCATTAGTTGTGGAAATGGTTTCCCTACACTGCCACGAATGCTTCCCATCGGAATACAGATTTCTTTGGGAAAATTCCTATAATTTGCTTCAATATTAACTGTGCAGCATGCTATCCAAACAATACACTCACAGGTAATCTCAGACAATTGTATGTATATAAACACACATTTTTCCCCAAAAGAGCTGTGGAAATGGAACAAGATGAGCGTAATATTTCTGATTTTATTCATCAACCCTGCTGATTTATTATATCCCCTGACTCCTAAAAAAAAAAAAAAATGATGTTGTGTTTCCAGATGACAAAGCCAAGTTGCTACAGGCAGAAGAAGAATAAAGTAAACTAATTATCTCCACTTACAGCCTACCATTAATCAGCATTGGTCCCAGGGCCCAGCTTTCTCTCTAGGCTGACGTCTTGGCACTTTTGTTCAAGTAGAAGGGCTGCTGCCTCTTTTCTTATATCCCGCTGCCTCTTTCTAGGTGAGACTCATAGATTCTTAGATTGTACTGGCCAGATTGGCATTGAAAACTCCCATGCTAGTCCTCCTTCCTCAGGGCAGAATTAAAAAGCCACCTATCTTGTTAAAAGTATTTTCTACCATATTGTTCAAAATCTATACAAAAAAGCTGATGACTTTTTGGGTGAGACAGAGCTTCTTCCTCATACCAACTGCTATCAGATGCTCATCATAATCTACTGGCAGAGGAGGACTCATAATGTCTCACTCACCCTCAACATAGGTGTGCCTGAGAGCTGAAGACACACACCTGTCAGTAGAAGGGCCTGCTTTTCCTGAATCACCATTACACAAACCTACCTGTCTGGAAGAAGAGGCTTCCTGAACAGTCTCTTTCTACCTTTAATCTCACTCACCCTCAACATAGGTGTGCCTGAGAGCTGAAGACACACACCTGTCAGTAGAAGGACCTGCTTTTCCTGAATCGCCATTCCACAAACCTACCTGTCTGGAAGAAGAGGCTTCCTGAACAGTCTCTTTCTACCTTTATTTGTTGGTGGGAGCCACAGCCTGGTCTGCAGCCCTCTTCTCTTCTTGGTCCATGCTCACTCCCTGAACACTAGTGTCCATAGCTTAAATGCCAAGTGTATATCTCCAGCCTCGACTTCCCCCAGGTGCTGGATTCATATACCAACTTCCTTCCCTATATTCATGCTGGATGAATAATTCACAGGTCAAAATTACCATATCCAAACCAAAACTGTCATTCCTACTGCCCAATGGCCTTCAACCTATTCTTCTCAGCTCTTGCCTTTCTCAGGAATACAGTATCATCATCATCCTCCCAGGTGTCCTTGATTCCACTTTCCTGCTCCCCACAGTGAGCCCATTTCCTGCAGACCTTTCCTGTAAAGTATGTCTTGATGGGGCCCACTTTGCTCTGCTTTCACCACGGCCATCCTGTCTATGTAGCTGTTCTCTCCCACCAGCACCCCTGCAGGAGCCTCCTATCTGTCCTCAGCTTCTGAGAGAGATAATTTTAAGATGTGAATCACGCCAGACTACTGCTTACAATGTTCCAATGGCCTCCTGTCTCACTTAGGATCAAGTCACAACCCATCACGGTGACCTACAGAGACCTGTGTGATTTGGCCCCCACCCATCTTTCCATTCAGTTTTTCTCCTTGCCAACTGTTCTTTGGACCCACCAGCCTTCTGTCCTCCACACACCAAGTTCATTGCTTTCTTAGAGTTGCACTCGTTGTCTAAAATGTTTTTAACCTTGATTTACACAAAATTGGCTCTTTGTCTTCAATTGTATCTCATCTGAAATATCTTCAGAGGCCTTTTCTAACCACCGAATGTGAAGTGGTCAACTAGTTCTGTATGATTTCACTCTAATTTTTGTAGAGTATTTATTACTTTCTGGATTTGGGGGTTTATTTATTTTTGAATGATGCTATCATATAATTCTCCCTACTGAAATTTAGGCTTTATGGGAGCAGAAATCTTGTCCTTTTTGCTTTCTCTCTGGCTCATAAAATAGCATCTAACTAACACATAAGAAATGTAATTCTCTGTGTGGGTGCATGTGTGTGTGTTGTGTATATAAGACAATGTACAAATCAGCATTTACACATTAGCATGAGTTGATTCAATCAGATTGCTTTCTTCCTAACACCTTCTAGAGAAAGCTAAGAAGTAAAGTTATGATTATTAAGGGAGATAAATAGTAGATATGTTTATAGTGTGGCTTGTCCTTGAACAATAGATGTATCTGAGAGGGTTATTGTAATAAGATGGGGCAAAGTAAACTGAGGACCTTAGAACAGAAACATTTTCCTCGTTCACAATTTTAGCTATGGTGAGAACTGTGATAAAAAGTAAAATATTTTTTGACTCTCTGCATTCATTTTTTTTCCTATGTTTCTTACTTCTAAGACCCAGAACTCAGGCCAGTACTTTCAAAATATTAAGTACACTCTGTGGAGTGCTAAATAAGCATTTTGCAGTAGTAGCCTGACATGGGTCCATAACTATATTATATCACATTGTTTCTATGGGAAAAAAACAGGCTCAAAAGCCAAGAAAAAGACATGTTACAAGGACCATTTGGAACCCAACCTGTTTTGTACTAGGGACCACCTGTAATTCCACA